CAAAAAAAAAAAAAAAACGCTTCTTTTAAATCACATTAGAGACGGCAATCCAGGTTAAAGGCCAGTTTCAGGTGCATCTCATCTAATTACATTGAATTTGAAAAACTACGAATCATTTAAGCAAGCTAGTTTTCAATCAAGAAGATGAAAACCGAACGATAAAGAACCACTCACGGAAATTCTCCAACAGCTGCAGATACTCGTTGCCACCGCCGATTACGTGTGCAGAGGTTGATCGGACATGAACAGCGAGAACAATTAGGGTTTATCGATTTCTGGATTTTGATTTAATATTTGAAACCGGTGATGAAATTGGGATTTAGGGCAAACGGAGCGGAATTACAAAGCTTCGATCAATCCCAACCCTGATTGAAAGTGTCGAAAGGCGGGGACTTTGTACAACTTTTCATTTATTTTTGGACTCTCTTCTGCTCAGAAGTGCGCCTGTTAAGGCCTACTTCAACTCTATGGGCCGTGGGCCTTATCTTAAGATTGCAGAATGAAGTGATCATTGAGCGTGATCCAAGCGTGCTAATGTAACTATTATTAACTAGTATGTAACCCGTACGATGCACGGGTTAGTACATATTTAGAAAAAATTAAAAGGTCATTAATTAATAAGTTATTATAATACATACGACATTCATAAAGTAAACATAAAATCGTCATTGGTAAAAAGTTATAAAAAATCTCCTTATATACAACGTATTATGACTTTAATAAATGCGCCCTACAAAATAAATTTATAAATATTAATTAAAATAATTTTTCAAATTATATAAATTTGATATTACAAATGAAAATATGTACCTGTTCATCATGAAACAGTATATGGAATGCGTTCCAGCTCTCCCGTTCGTGATGCGTTTCAATTATTCGGACTGCTCTCAAAATCAAATAAGGTTTGTTTGTCCTACTCACGGAATCGAGTGTATCCCAAACTGGAGGCATTATATTATCGATGTGTTCTGAAATTTATCTCTGTATTTTGTTTTTTTTTTCTCTGAATTCTGTGAATGACGTGAAGAAATAATGGTGGTAGTGAATATCCTTTTATACAATTTTTTTTAGCACATTTGTATTGACCGAAATTAATGCATTCACGTTAAAAAGGAGTCCGAATATTTATTCCATAAATAATGATCCAGAATATTTATTCCATAATGCATTGGCGTGAACAAAAAGGGGTCCGAATATTTATTCCATGATGCATTAGCGTGAACAAAATTAATGCGTTGGTGTTAAAAAAATCAAGAATATTTATTCAATTAATAATGGTTTATAAATTAATGATTTGGTATGAACAAATGATATTCCAAAACATATGATTATCGAGATAAATACCTATATATAAACTATTAAAATACGAATAAAAATGCTAACAAAAAAATTTATAAATAGTCCAAAATTTTTTTATCATTAATGATATAACCCGAATAAATAAAGATATTATTGTACACGCATGAGTGATTATTAATATTAAATGATAAAGATTTATAACTATATATATTGGGCTAATATCATATAAATAAAAATTTATATCATATTATTTTGTTACATAGATTCATAACTAATATTCTTCATGTGAATTAATATTAATTACAATATTACAAACTATAATAATTATTAATAATCATTATAAATATTTTATATAATATT